ACACAGCCTGAATCCACCCAGCCCATTGAAAATAGCCACTCCCCTGTGGCTTCACTCACACAGTTCTTCCAGAAATTGTTGTTTTTCACTTAAAACATCATTTATTATTAAAAATGATCACTTCTGGTGTAGTTTTCCTTAGTTGCTCACAAAAGAGCAGTTCTTTGTGTATTTCATTATTAGAACAAGATCTAGCCAATACAATAATCTGAGAAACATCTGAGGCATCAGTATTTTAATTTACTGTTTAATTTACTGTATAGCAAATCTCCTACATACTGAAATTTGCTCAAATAACTTGTTTTTCCTGCTGCTCTTTAGCCATATGTATATATAAGTTTCTTTGCCAATCCCAGTGGCATATGCTGACCAAAGAAATTGTTTTAGTTTGTCAACATATTGTTTTCCAAGTACTATTTCTCCTTCTTCTGATTAAGCAGGAAGACAACTATTTCTCTCAAAGGATATTTTTGTTTGTTTTTTGTTTGTTTGTTTGTTTTTCCCATTAAGAAACCTTAAAGGAAGTCTCTAAGCATTTAGTATTCAATTCAGTGTAATTTTCTAAACTACTAAATTGAGTATTACGTGTCTTTAAATATCACCAAAACAAGACAAAACAGAAAGTAGGGTAAAGTCTTCCTAATCTGAAGTGCTTTTAACTAACATCTCAAAGCCTATGTAGGATGAGGCTATCACTCATGATAGAGAATCTGTATTTCCCTATTTCAGATAGCTTTAATATTACTTTTGAAATTTCCGATTGACTTGTCATGTCTGATTAAGGGCTTGGCAGGGAGCTCTTCTCACGAGTAAAACCATGTCAGCTCCACTCTTTTCTTATTAATAGAAAAAACCTTATCCTCAATTTACAGGTTTGGAGCTGAAATGTTTTTAATCTGGTTTAGTTAAAACTAGATAAAGTAATATGTGAAGAATCTATTTAAGTGGGTACACTGCAGCACATCACAACAGATTGAACGGAAGTAGCTGTTGTCAGTCCCTTTGTGTGGGAGAGCCCCACTCTGTCCTCATGGCACTTGGCAAATGGCAATTTACCTCATGATTCTCTGACACACAGACCAAATGTGGGCAGCGTGTATATGCAAGTCAATTTCTATTTTTAGATGGGAAATAAGTACAAGAGAAGATTTAATATCCCCCCATACCTCCTGGGGACCCTACACCCCATTGGAGAGCATTGATTTCAGTGTTAGTCGTTGATTCATTATAGCAGTAAACCTTGTTTGGATACTCCCAGGCTCCATTCCCTGCTTCTCCTGTCAACATTAGCTTGGTTTTCTTCTGGATGGTTCCAAGGGTGGGTCCCCCATTGGCTTAAGCCAAGCAGCTTCACTCATCTTGCTAGTCATGGTGATTGGCTTGGGATGCTGAGGTGCTGGACTCCCAATGGCCAACCATGCTTCAGGTCTAGGACCCGGGACTTTCTTCCTTATGTTCCCTTTCTCTCTCTGGTCAAATTAAAAAAACAATAATAACAACAATGATAAATGAAATAAACTAAAATAATTATTTTAAAAAAGAAAAGAAACTCAATTTGAGCTCTGAAGATACATATATTCTAGGACTTTCCTGGCAGATGCAAATAGAGGCTATCGCTCTCACCCAGCTGGTGTAGCCTAAGGGTGTGATGAGGCCTGTACCACAGCCAATTTACTACCTAAGAGCCTGGACCAGAGCTCCCAGCAGCCAGAGTGAGAAACCCAGGTATGGAATGAGACTGCTGCACGTAGAGGCAAAGAGAAGGAAAGAAACCAGGTTATCAGGGACCTTATTAGGCTCCTGGGTGAAGGCTTACCTAAATCCAGTCCAACCCAGTCTTCTCAGTTTTATGGATCAGTAAATTCCCCTCAATTGCATAAACCATTTATTTCAGTTGTCTTCTCTATCACCTGCAACCAAAAAATCCCTCACTGATAGCACTGTCAACTCCTTCGGTGCAGTTTGTGGTGTTGTTATTTTTATTTATTTGTTTTGCTTTGTATCTTGTAGACAGTAACCATATTGTGTAGCACAGTATTATCATCAGTACTTGCAAGACCACTCTACAGTGACCAGCTGGTAATGAAACAATGGAAAGGTGACAGTCGCAACGCTGAAGCCACATTGTAAGATCCTGGGTTGGTGCTCTGATGTCTCCCTGTACACACGCTGTGCACACCCCTGATGCTAGCTGAAGCTGGAGAAGAGGATGGTGTGAAGACCCTGTTAGGGGTGGCAGCCTCGCTGT